GAGCATGGTGGCACATGCCTGTAGTCCCAGCTACTCGGGAGGCTGAGGCAGGAGGATCGCTTGAGCCCAGGAGTTTGAGGTTGCTGTGAGCTAAGATGATGCCACGGCACTCTAGCCCGGGCAACACAGTGAGACTCTGTCTCAAAAAAACAACAAAAAAAAGATACTTATTATGAGCCTCCTAAGTCATTCCTTCTCCAAGCTAAACATCTTTATATTCTTCAAATTGTCTTCATGTGACAGTTTCATGACCCCTCCCTTCAAGATTAATCTCCCTCCTCTTGATAAGCTCTTGTTTGTTATTAATACTTAAGATCGAGAACTGAATCAGGCATTGGAGAAGCCATCTCTCTATGGAATGGGCAGCTCTCAATTCAAACCTAGTTCACCAATTTCTAGCATTCTGTTCTTGGCCAGCTCACATCTCTCTGAAACTTTCTGCATCTAGAAGGTAGTTATGATGATAATTATATCACTTACTTCGTGACAAAATAAGGATTAAATTATGTAATACAAGCACTATGCTTAGCACAGGCCCTGGCACATTTAAGCACTGAAATAGTAGCTATTTTCATCACTCTTATTTACTATCTAAGAATGCATTCACAAGTATTATAGCCATATTACACTATTGAGTTATATTAAAATTACAGCAAACTAAAATTCATAAGCCTTTTATTTTTACTTGGATTACTATTAAATTTGGTCTTCCACATCATATACTTGTGCAGACTTTCTTTTTTCTTTTTTTTTGGAGACAGTCTTGCTCTGTTGCCCAGGCTAGAGATGGGATCTTGAGCCCAAGTTGAGGGTTAAAATAGAGCAGAGACAACTATCCACCACAACAAGAAGGAAGCATGCAGTGCAGTTGGTAGACTTATGGGTGGGAAGATGATGACAGTTCAGTCTGATTTCCTTTGAGAAGCATGAGGTAAAGTCACCAGCTGAGAGTGCTGAGGAAAAAGGAAGTTTAAGAGATCTGAAGAGTAAGGAGAAGTGGAGACTGAAGAAGAACACACTAGGGAAGTGTGCTGGGACTGGTGAACAGTGTTAAATGCCTACTAGGTATCCTGGACATAGATTTAAAGAGATACCAGTCACATTGGTATGAATTTTACCCCAGCTGTTTGACCACAGGAATAGAGTAAGTGGTTAGTGGGGGTTTGCCTAAGCAAGTGATGGAGAGAGCAGCAAGAATACTAAAGAGGTTTGCAAGGGAGTCACTTTTGACTAATTTTGTGTGTCCTTCCAGAGCTTCTTTCTAGATAATATAAGCAATTATAAATATACATCCATGTTATCTTGCTTTTTTTTTTACACAAAAGGTAGAATACTACATTTTTTTCACCCAACAATATGTCTTGGAGATCTTTTATGAGTACACTAAGAGCTTCCTCATTCTTTTTTGTAGCCACATAATATTCTATTATATGCTTGTAATGTTGTTTACTTAGCCAGTTTTAACTTATAGACACTTGAATTTCTTCCAGTCTTTTGCTAATATAAATAATGTAATAAATAAACACATATCTATATCATAGCACATGAATGCAAGCTTATTTTTGGTATAAATCACCAGAAATATGATTACCAAATGTATATTTGGTCAAATGTATATTTGGTTAAAATGTATATTTGGTTAAAATGTATATTTGGTTAAAATGTATATTTGGTTATTATTTTGATTCATATTAACAAATTGCCCTCCATAGGTGTTGTACTAATTTATATTTACATAATCTATTGGCCTGCCTGTTTTCTCACAATCTTGCCAAAAGACTGTTTTATCAAACATTTGAATTTTTGCCAATCTGATAAATGTAAATTGATAACTCAGTTTAGTTTTAATCTGCATATCTCTTATTGTGAGTGAACTGAGCATCTCCATGGGTTTAAGAGCCATTTATATTCTGTGAACTGTCTCTTCATATGCTTTGCTCATTTTTCTATTGGGATAATTGCCTTTTTCTTATCTATTTTTAAGTGCCCGGAGGTTTTTTTGTTTGTTTTTGTTTTGTTTTGTTTTGTTTTTAGAGACAGAGGGCTCCCTGGGAGTATGGTGGTGCGTAGTCATAGCTCACGGCAACCTCAAACACTTGGGCTCAGGCAATACTCCTGTCTCAGCCTCCCGAGGAGCTGGGACTACAGGCATGCGCCACTACACTCACCTAATTTATTATATATTTTACTAGCTGACAGGGCTTGCTTCCCTTCACTGATGCTCTTTTTCAAGCTTTTCTGTCAATTCTTGTTTTCAATTAAA